CACTAACCTTACCAGGATATTCACTTTACAGCAGCATCAAAGGTGAGAACATGACTACTCAACAATGTGATTTATTGAGACAACTTTGTTCTTTCGCTTAACATAAGAATTGTTTTTTCAAATAAGCCTTCTTTCTAGAGCTGAAATTATACCCTGAGAAAGTGACATTCGTTGCCCATCATCACACTTCAACACGCTTCGTTGCATGAGACTACCGACTGTAAAGTTCTACACTTGTACAAATGTTAACACGAAATCGGTCTCTATAGTTAACCTGGAGATTATGATTGATTCTCGATATGTGTTATGATTTTCAAGTATCTTCCGTGAAAGCACAGTGGACGTTAAGTAAGAAAATGTGCTAAAATTGAAATGCCATTCACTTTTTTCATTTTGACAGGCAATGAGGAACGCTTAAGTGATACACTATGGACGTGATGATCAAAACTTCTACCTTTGTGCTGGTATGTAATTTTTCCATTGTGAACTGTAACTAGGTCACAACAGCAACAGATACATGACTGCCGTCTTGCTCCCCCCCCCATCCCCGGAAAAACCTCGATCATTATGCCTCCAACGTCCCCCTCCCTTTGTTGCTTTGTGGAATCAATTTTGCCTTGGATTTTGCACAAATTCTCCCCTACATTTCCTTAAACTTAAATTGAAGCCACATTCACCAGTCTCGTTTGCACTGGCAATTTAATCATTGTGTACCCCGAAATAAATGCCATTTGGAAGGGGCGATCAATTTTAAAATCGTTCCAATCAGACAGGTTCATTTCCTCTGAAGATGTGTAAGATTGTCTTTTGTTTGTTTTTTAACGAAGATGGCAGTAGACTGCAGGCTTTGAGAGTAGCTTCCTTGTTGGGCAAAGCGCCGAGAGGCCAGATACATTCACTGACTAATGAGGCCTGTGATCACCATGGTAACACCAAGGCAAAGGCTTGCAGAGTGGATTCAGTGGTATGTGCATTTTATATATTGCTCAAGTGTAATTAAAGAGTTTTGGGCAGAGAGAAAAATAAACTTCACAATCGCCAGGATTTCTTTTACCGTCAGTGCCTGTTTTTTGGGATGGGGCGGGGGTAATTCTTGGAGGTACTTTGACTTTTTTCGAGCAACATGTAGTGATAACTGTTCATGAGTTAAATGACACTATAGCAGCAAAAATAACTATCAATTCTTCCTTCGACAAATTGTCATGGCCAACAAAGTTGCCTCCATTTTTTAAAAAAAAAGGAAAAATTTGAATGAGAATATTTAATATCTTAAATTGAAAATTAATTTTTTGTAGTTCCAAGTTGTTGTAGCGAATTGTTCTTTTTAAAAAATGTTTTGATACACGTATTTGTTCAGTCCAGAGGCGGCAGCCAAAGAAAGCACGGGGATAGAGCTCGTGCTGGATGAACAGTTACTGACGACGTCTCCATGGCAACTCGCATCAAGCGGCGACGTCTACTTTGAGGAACGCAAGGCTTGATTAGAATTATTCAAAAGACTGTCAAATGCCGCACAATCAGATTTGATCAGAGATTTGCAGTTTGGTCCTAAACCTCTGCCCTAAACTGAACGGTCTCTAAATAGATCTCTATAATCACATTATACAGCTTTCCTCTGACTAAATACCAGGTTCAATGCGCTCTTATTTGTTTCATTCCAAAAATCGAGTTTGCCAAGTTATCTTTTCAAAAGACAAACTCAAATTTTTGAACTTTTGTCTAATACGTCTTATGCCAAGCAGGACAGAAAATGGGCACTCCTTCAAAAAACCCTTTGATATTGTCAGTCTTCATGCAGCAGTAACTGACCATAAACACTCATTCTTATAGAACAATTTACATGAATTTCCCAAGCTTCCAAATGATGTAAGCTAGAAGCAGTAGTTGCAAAATTGTTGTGATTAACTATTTCATTTAATTGTTAGGTGCACAATTTGATTCTGGCATAGTATCAACATTCTCTTGTGATGTTATCCTACAATTACATGTGTACCGAATAAACCTTCCCTGAAAATAGCAAGCATTTGTAATTTATTTACATTTAGTCTTGTCACAAAACTGTTACCACTATGTTTAATTTCTTCCTGTTTAGCATATGAAATATCTGCTTTGGTAAAGAGGACCAAATGAGTCAAGTTCCTTCACGTGGCCTTGCAGTCGTGGAATTAAAAAATTCTCGTTCTCATGGATGCCTTGTCCCTTTCATTATTTTCCAAGCATTGGATATTTGCAATCGGTTTAATTATTCAATTTCGTAAGTGGCTTGGATTGGGGTGTTTATAAGACAAGTAAACCACTCATCTTTCTGGTTGTTCTTGGAATGCGAGACAATCCCAGTTTTTCGTTTAAGCGATGAATTCAATTACAAAACTGAAAGATTAAATTGGTAAAATGAATGACAAAAACGAATTTGCATTTCCGATTCTGGTGATTTACAGCACACCGCGCCACCAAGAGTTTGCCTCAGACCGGCACTTCATGTTTACAATCAAGACGCTGCAGAAGTTAAGAGCACGTAATTTGGGGATATTTGACCGAGGCACACAAAACCATAATTTTGACGACCTATTAACACCCATTCACAATAAGCAATTTGAACCAAGGTAAACATTCGGGGAAAAAAATTCAAGTTTTCCGCGCATATACTGTCGCGGTCAAAGACTTTGTCGACTATTTTGTCCCATAATGCACTGCAAAAGCCTCTCCATTATAACCTCTTGGTGGCGCACAGCATTGTGAATCGCCCTTATTAATGCCTTTCCCGGAGTGAGACAAAAGACGATATATAGAACGAAGAAGAATGTATTGAATGCCCTGACAGTAAAATCTAGTGGTGTTATTTCGAAATGGGAATCAACCTTTGAGGCGAGTGACCCCTCTGACAAAATTAAAGTTTCTTGGAAGAAAAGCAGTTTTAAATGAAAGTGCGAAATTAACATGGAATTAATGCTAGTCATATTTTGTAAGCAATGTCCGTAATGAATCATAGCCACGGTATGAGATCTACTTTTGTGAGCATGCGTTAAGGATTTGTCGTGGCAGTGTTTATGGATGCAATCTATAGTTTGCAAAGGGGGCCTCTTACAGGATGATGAATACACTTTTGTTATAAAAGTGTTTCAAAAATCAGATGATAAATTGGAGATTTTTTGTATAATTTAGTTTGCAAGTTTTCGTCCTTGATTTTCAATTTAATACTGAATTTAGTGGTGTCAAGCACAGTCAATAAATTCTCAGTAATGTCTTCTACTCATACTATAAAGGAATTACATGTCGTTTTTCTTACCATGTCTCAGTTTGTAGTAAAGTCCCACCGCATTTAACTGTTTTTATCCCTTGGGAATAAATTTACCGCGACATTGCCATACTAATTTGCGTTAAATTTCTATTTAACTTCGGGTTCAAGTGAAGCAAAATAACTTATTTGATGAGCAGCTGGGGCAGCTAAGTTGGGAAATCGAATAATGTTTGTTTTGATATCGATTAAGGCTTCGTTAAACACGCTCATTAAGTTTATAATTATTCTGTCTTTCTATGTGCTATAAGTTTCTCATCCATGTCATCCTGCAGCTGTGATCGCGTCTAATGCGAAATTCTGCGCTTCAATTTTTTCCCGTTTAGTTTTGGACCGGCCGCGGCCGTGACGAGAAAACTGCCGAGCGCCCTCTGTTGCATGCTGCTTCGCGGTGGTCTTCGAACGTTGTACCATGTTTTTAGTCGGGCTTCCGTCGTCTGGAACAATCAAATGTCTGCTTTGAATAATAGCAACATGTATTGACGCCTGGGGGCCGATCCTCAAAGTTTATTTCTTAAACGTCACAAGTCGATCACCTCTATGTAAATGGTCCGAACAAAAGCAAGCATTCCGCCGCACGAGGGCACTACGCATTTTGTGATAGACATTAGACTTAACTGCACAAGTATGATGGTATTTCGACCAAAAAGAACTTTGTCTAGCTATCTAGCTATCATGCAGTACAATCTTTTTGCATTCCTTAAAATCGTGTCGGGCGAAAGCTTGCATTTTGGAAACTGTAAAGGAGACCGGCCGCGAGAGCGATTGTCATTCCCAGCTCAGAATTCGTAATACTGCTCCCAGGAAATGTTACACATTTAAGTTTGATATTTTGCGTTCAATGTGTGAATGAGCTGGCAAAAGCATTTTGGATGACATTACCTCAGGCTACCTTCAATATGCAAGTGGAGCGTACTCCCCATTATTAAAATTTAGTGAAGGGGTAGGTCACTAAGTAGGACACATTTTGGGATACCGTTTTAAGATAAGAGGTCTTTTCCATGAACTACAAAATTTATCCTCTGATTGTTCACATTCTTAGATACGTGGGTCCTGAAAAAAACAGTTAATTGGATAAAACAAAATGTGATGACCTAAATTATGTCCTACTTGTGGGGTAACTGGGATAGCGAAATAGGGTAAGTGAGATATGACCAAATGATGTCATTAATTATCGAAACAATTCAAAGCGCACCTGTTTCAATCGCCAGGTTCTAATAATATGCTTTAGTACAAGCTGTACAGTTCACATCCATACATGTACAAAAAGTCCTTTTGCTCAGTTGTCGACCGAGAACAGTCTGGGGCAAGATTCGGATCCATGAAAACATCAAAGATAGGTCAGGGGCGGCACTTGAAACTCTGGAACCAATCATACCAGCCTCCACTCTGCAATGATAGCGCCCTCATCGGGGAACAAGGCTTAGTCACAACACGTAGACGCTACAAAAAGAATGTACCAAAAAAAAAAAAAGAAAAAAAGGGAACCCGGCCTTGCACGTATTGAACTGTGGATTGACTTCCAAAAGGTTTACATATTTGCTAAGATTTTTTTTTCTGGTACCAATCATACTGGCCTCCACTCTTCAATGATAGCGCCCTCATCGCGAAACAAGTCTTAGTCACAACGTGCATACTTATCACTATTGGGGCTTTTTTATCTGGCATTTTTCGATCCACCTAATTTCCTTCGTCCTCCTTTTATTTAGCACAGTATCCTGAAAAATAACTTTGGCACTTCTGTACGTGTATAAGGCTAGGGTTGTTTGTTTTATTTTGTTTTGTTTTTTCTTTCTTTTTAGTTTTTAGCGCTTACGCGTTGTGATTACGCGTTTGGCAAATATGTAAACCTAATGACGACATAACAGGTGCATGGTTAAATACAGTCTCCGTTTTTTTCGTCTCCTCTTGCAAACAACCAAAGGCGTAAGGCCATCTCAAACGTCACAGGTTAACAAGAAACGGAGGGCGCATAATACTTCCAAGGTTGGCTTAATGTTTCCCGTGGACATTGTTCATGAGGGGCCCCTGCTACAGTAGAAAACCCCCGGTGAAACTACCTGTAAGGGTGCAGTGTCCCAATTCAAGGAAAGTCTCCGCCAGGCCTTTCGAAAAGAGGGGTCTGTATATGGGCCAAGAAATGGTGGGATTGTGTCAGTATGGCCCAGAATCATCTGTGTAGATTCAGGGGCACCCACCTGGGGGCAATGCAGACAAAAGTGTGATTGAAAATTTGTCAGAAGAGCCCCAGGAAGGTGAGGGATATCATTTGAAAAATGGCCGCTGAGAAAACTTGGGAATGTTCACTTTTTGGGGGGGGGGTGAGTTTGTTTTTGGCGGAGAATTAAAAGATTCATTAGTTAACCTCCTAAAAATTGAAAATCAAATGAAATCTGAAGGACGAAACAACACATTGTGTTTTGTTTAAGTGGCCTCAGGGACTTCAGTGGCCTGCCATGGGGCTCCAAACTTGGTTGAGTTTACACTATTTTCAATGGAGCTTGAATTGGTTCAGTGCATCCCTAACCACACTCGTTGATTGGGAATTCCCTCTGCAGAAAACAAAGGCTACTACAACAAATGCCACCTTGTGTCTGAGTAAGATGGATGAAATCGATGCCTGAAGAAATCGATGCCTTAAGAAATCGATGCATGAAAACGAGCTTAATTCTTTCAAAATAGCGAGGAGCTGCACGACTGCTGCGCAATGCCACCTCAAACGTCACGGGTCGTTTTGCAGTGGGTAGGAAGCCGTTTGTCATCAGTAGCTTTCTCCAGTGATCTTTTGTATGGATTGCCCTACTCTGTATTGCCATAGATCTTTCTATGTATCTAGTTTTCCTTCAATGATTTCTTGTGTCTTTTTCTTTTCATTTCTATGCGATTCATACAAAGAGGGTTTCACTGGTTTTAATCCTTAGCTTCAATTTGTCATTTTCAGTTCATGGAGAGCGGTATCTGCGATGTTTTATGTATGGGTGATCCCTGACAGGGTCCTGAATATTCACAATACATTTTCATGGTAGTTGCTCACTTTTGTGCTAGTTTTCAAAGGCCATATTCAACCTTTTAAGTTTTATTTTAAATGTTAAGAGTTTTTTAAATAAATAAAAATACATCATTTCGCCGTTTATGAAAGAAGTGACTCCCAGGAATGCGAGAAAGGGACCATCACTGACTCTGACGCGTCAGCAGTGTAAGTTTTTAAGTTGTGTGCTGCCGAGTTATCGGACTACTTAGGAGACTATCGCCGGAAAACCGTGTCCGATTATCTCAACCGCCACAGGTGGGATAGGAAAATTGTTGCCGTGGCCTGAGTGGTTTGCCGAGTCTGATTGGTGACTTTCGCAACCGAAGCCAAGTAGGGCAACTTTTTAAATAAGAACGTGTCTTCAAGCAGCCCTGATGAGAGACAATACGAAATTATAGTTGATTTGATACTTTAAATTTCTCCTTGGCCGCTGTAATACACCATTCAATAGAAGCTTGGTCAAAAACCATCTCAAACGCCGCAGGTTGATTAAGCATATGTGAATTTTCCCCCACAATCTCTCCGTAACTGTAATTAACATGTTTTTACGATTTTTTACCGAGACATTTGAAATGCACTTTCTAGCAATCTCAAATGTGCCATGTTGTTAACTCAAATGTGCCATTTTGGGCCATTCCATGGCAATTTCAGTCCCACAATCTGCATGAAATGAGCTGAACTGCTTTAGCTATTCATTTGTAATACTTATTCTTCCAGGAAAGAAATCGTCCGAGTCTTCAAAGGGAGCGATTCCCAACCGACTGTAGCATTTGAGATGACTTTCGACAGAATATAGCTCAATCTGATGTAATCTGATCGGGGTAAGCTCGTGCACAGCTGTCATCCTGGCAAAGATGGAAACC